CCTTCCCAATAATAAGCTCTATAATTTATGGTATTAATCTCTTAGGAATAGCACTGTTGTGGGAATCATGTTAAAATAATACTAGACAGTCCCCTAAAGCATTCACTGAAGGGTCTAAGTCTCTGTCAGAAAAATGGACAAGGTTCTGGTTTTGTAATCAGATAGGTCTTGTTCTTTATTTTCTCTTGTTCTTTAGTTTTTGAAATGAAAAGCATGTGATATTAACTCTAGTAATTGTTATTTTTCTACAGTCCTATTAAGGATGAAGATAAGCTGGGGTTACTGAACTTGGGAAAAAGTTGAGGGTTTTTTGGTTGTTTTGTTGTTGTTGCGTCTTTTTTTTGGCTTAGGCATTTAAACCCTTTTTTTTTTTTTTTTAGCAAAGGATCTGAAAAACAGTAGTATAGTCCAGAGATCTTTAAGTACATAGTTTTGGCAGTATAGTGTTTTGAGGCCTTCACGAACAGCGATCTTCTTTTCAATATGTATTTTATACCTTCATACCTGTCCTTTGGCACACACTTCATTTGCTTTATCCTGAGGCATTTGACAGGCCATGTATTCATTCATCCATGTGTGTTCCTGCCCCGCCTATGGCTGCCTTGAGGCGTGATGTGCCAGATCATTTCATGTTGGCCATGCTGGATCCTTTGTACATCAAGTGCCATCAGGTATCATTAGACCTGCTTTCTACAGCGTGCTCTAAGCAAGGTGCTAAATGCATCCTGTGGAGAAACGGTGTGGTAGGAACCCTCTGGTTGATGACTTAAACGTGTATTTCCTCCACTGCTATCTTGGTAAAGTTATTTTACTGGCATGTGTGGTGATCTTTGTGTACAGGGGCCAAACCTAAAAGAATTTGATAATTGTAACAAACTGGTAGTGCTAGGTATCAAGTGCTAACTGCAGTGGAAGATACTGTGCACCAAACAGTGCAGAATCTGTCCTGGATGGTGATGGCAGGGACGGGTGTTTTATCAAGTCTTTATACAGTAATTCCTCTAACTGTTAGGAAAAGAGATTGAGGAGAACTTGACATGTTGTGGGGTTTTTGTAGCTTTTTGTTTTAAAACACGTGTATCTCATTCTTATAATGATAAAGAAATACAGGAAAGGTAAATGAAGTTTATAAAATACCAAAAGTATGTCAAAGGCTTTTAAGAGTAGTTCTGTCAACTGATGAAAACCGTTAATCCGTAGTCTCCCAAATGTGATGTTCTTTACCTACAGGCTATGTACAATTGTATCATGTGCTGTCTATCACCACAACCACTGTGTCATTGTGCACTGGATAAGTGATGTCTAGACATGGCTGTAACCTTTACCTCTGCAGTTTATATCTCTCAGGAACTAGACACATCAGACAATGAAAGGTTTGTTTTTATGAGACTTTGAAATACCGGAATCAATTATTTTACTGTTCTATTTGTCTATATATGCCTTTAAAGACTATGTGTCAAATCTTTCATATTATATTGTCAGTGATTTGTATAGTTTCATATCTTCTTGACTTCAGAAATATGGCAATGAATGGTGGTTCTGATGATCGGGTGGAACTGTAAGCAGAAGATGTTATTGAGTATATGGAAGCAGTTTGTGTTCTAAGTTTGAACAAACAGAGATACATTAGCTCATGAACAGCAAGAACTTTACAAGGACAAACTGGAAGGTCAGAGGAAATTAAAAACAAAAGAATGCCTGATTGCCATGTCTGCTGAGACTGAGCACTGATTACACTATCCTTGTCCTGCCAGGATCATGATGATGACAACTGTCTTATGTCCTTTGACCAGATAGAGTCATAGAATATCCTGAGTTGGAAGGGACCCACAAGGATCATAGAGTCAAACTCCCGGCCCTGCACAGGATGAACCCCAAAATTGCACCATGTCCCTGAGAATGTTGTTCAAACACTCCTTGAACTATGTCAGTCACGGTGGATTACAAGGCAATGGTAATTGAGGCTGTTAGGTTAAACTCAGCCCTCTTTCTGGAGATAGTTACAGAGCAGCATAATTAGACAAAAGGGGCTTAGAGTCCTTGTGCAAGAGAAGCCAGTGTAATACACATGGATTCTAAGATATGAAAGGTTAAGTGCTGCAGTTGGGTACCTACTGGCATTGTAACACTTTGCATCATTATGTGACATGCTAGGAGAGCGGAAAATTACAACTCAGTTATTCAAGGCAGTAGTAAATCTAGTTAATACCTCACAGTTCTGACACATCTGTCAGTGTGGTATCCTAATTATTTACCTTGGCACTGTAAGCTCCAAGCAGGAAGTCCAGCTTGTGAGCACTGCATCCCAAAGCCTCCGGCGAATGTTTAGCAGCCCCGCTGGCACCAGCATAACTGGCAGCCCTGCTTACCAAACCAGAGCGTTCGTGTGAACAGAGGTGCAGGATCAGAACATCAGTCTGTAACAGGAAATTGCATTTCCAAAGGTGAATGTGTGAAAGGGGTCAGTAGCTCTTGACAGTTTGTTGCAAAGTTCTGTTGGAAGATTATTACTTGGAAAGTCAGGTGCTGTGATTCTATTCTAAAACAAGAAGCTGTAGCAGTAAGACCAATGTGCTCAACCCAGGTTCCTTTAGCACACTTTTTAGCTAGGTCTGGGAATAAGTAAACATCTAAAGTAATCTCTGGTTTTGTCATCTCTTTGGTAGTGTGCTTGCTTCCTGTATTACAAAAGTTATCATTAGTTTAGCTGTGTTTAAGCTTCCTGTCTCACCAGGGTTTTTTCCATTATTTTTACAGTCTCTCTCAGGAGGTACCAATATCATGTTTCTGTAATAAAGGTTTCACCTAAATAACATGTCGGGGTTTTTTCCTGTTGTGTTTTTTATTTTTTTTCTCCTAATTTCCCTTACTTTGTTTGAAATACCTTTTCAACTCTGATGCTTTCCTAGATTTTTTTAATGGCATATCCTATTGTAATAATATGCAGACCAAGAAAGCATAATAATACTTCTGTCTGCAATTGGTGTGCTTTAATAAATTGTATAAAAAGCTCAACAACCTGTTTAGCTTTTATTCTCACTCTGTGAAGTACCATAGACTTTTAAATTAATTTCTAAGTGTGGTATGTGTGCTGTAGGAGCAGTGTCCCTCACTGTGCCAGAGACTGAGGACTCCAGTTTGCATGAAAATCAAAAGAAGTCCTTGGCGCATTGCGTCATGTTGTGATTAGTTTAATTGCTTGATTTCAGTTTGTGAGATGTCCCTATGTCAGGAAGAGGGGTAAACTCACCTGTGTGATAGCTCAGGTTGGACAATAAAAATGGTGTGAACTTTGTTGTTTGCCTGCTCAAACCAAGCCTTACACTACTTGCCTTGGCCTCTTGTGTGGAACGTGCTGTTGTTCAGTAAGTGGCACTGCAACAGTGAACTCTGGCTGAGAAAATAAGTAACTGAGATGCACAGTGTCATGTTTTGTTCACCTCGTGTAGAAATTCAGTACATAAATCTGGAAATACCTAACTTTTAGTATATTCTCTTACTATTAAGTATGGAAACTGTGGACACTTAAAATAATTGACTTTCTGGATTTCACATGTGCTCAGTTACTTATCAAAGCAAAAGGTAAATCTAGACTTGAGGTTTTAAAATAAAAAGTGGAGCTGAATTTTCAGAACAGTGATGTAGAACTTCTCCATGACAATCCCACCTTAGTTAGACCGTGGACAAACATTTTGCCCTTACTGCGTACCCTGCTGTGTGTCTCTTACGGTTAAATCTCATTTCCCACTAATAGATGTCATTTGCTTGCTAGGGTATGGGTTTCCCTATAATGTTGGTGAGATGACACCTTTTAATGGAAGGCTTTAGGTATTTAGGTTTTACTTTTCTCATTAAATGTTTCTTGGTTTTGCAAATGCAGATGCTGTCTTGCCAATTGATGTTTCTTTGTGGATTTCATATTAATTCTTCTGTTATTGCCATAGAATGTACCTTAGCTCATTTTGTGTTCTTTTACCTTCAAATGTAATACTGAATTTGAGAGTTATCAGGATAATACTCAGATTTGGGGGTTTTTATATTTTATTTTTGGGGATGCTAACTAGTTTCTTAATTCATTAGATGCTAATTGTTACCAAAAATGTTCCATGACAGTTTCTTTCTGTATTCATTGATTTATTTATTGTATCATCTAGGCTTTTTCTAAATATGCACCTGTGGTAGAGTTGAATGGAAGGGTTTTCCCCAATTTGACACCAACATTCATATTAATCCACTAACTCAAGTCTGTTTTTCTAAGCTTGGCAATGGTGCTGTGGTATAAAAATCTTGATCCTACTTCATAATGACACTTCTGCTTTGTAGTTACTATCTGTCATTTAATTTATTTGCTTCTAAAAGCTATGTATTATTTGAGTAAGTGACATGTTTATACTTCGAATTTTTAGCCTATGGCCGCAGTAATGAGTAGTCCCTTCCTTTCCCTTAAAAGATGGTTTTAGGCTCATCCTAATTGATTGCTTTCACTCACTTGCTGATGTTGTACTCTTCATTTGAGCATCACTGTCTTGATGGTAATTAAACAAAAGTCCAGTTAAGCCTTGCGCTATACTGGGAAGCAGCTTGCCAGAATTTGACAGTAGAACAAAGGACATTTCATTGACCAATTTCTTCAGAGGAAAATGTCTCAGTGGAGGTCTGTAAAGCAACACATGTGATTTTAGGCACTTACCAGCTATCATTTAAAAATTATTTTAAATCTGTGGCTGAACCTTCTGCTCTGCTCCAAAGATGTGACTCAGAATGCTACTTGTGCTGAAGAGCTAATTTCCATCCACCAACAACATGAAAGCCCTCTTGAAACATCATATTTACAAAGCAGGCAAAGTGAGAGCAAGTAATCTCATCCCCTTGGAATATTTCACCACAGGGCTTATGATAAAAAGGATTAAAAATTTTCTATTTTATCTAAAATATAAAAACCTGTAAGTCCCACTTAACTGAAACCATTTTAGTTATTGCCCTTAATATTTTTGTTTCAGAAGCTGGAAATTGGAAAGAGTCACTGTAGAACTGGAAAAATGAAGAGTGAATCAGAGCAATGTTTTTTCCAAAGTGAGTCTTGCATGGCTGTTGGCATTAATTCTGCTGAGTAAAGTCGTTTGAGAAAGGAGAAGGAACACACAAGTTGAAGAGAAAAATGACACAGAAGATCCTGCTTCGGCAGGACTCTTTAGGATAGTTACAGGACCATCGTCTTATTGCATGAAAACTTGTAAAATGTATGAAAAGAGAATTTCAGTTGGGTTTCCAGCTTTCTCTCTCTTTTACCGTTAACTTTTTTATTTGAATGCCACTACTCTGTATATCAAGATCAAGACAATAATTGTCAACAGATCCAAGTACGTGTGTACATTATTATGTTTAATTTCCACCGAGCCATAAACACTCTTTGTCCTTTGCCTTTTACTAGCTATTGGCTTGGCTATTCCTTGTGGACAGGAAAGCTGTGTTTAATGCTTTGTAAAGTGGCCATCAGTTCCTTGCTTTTATCTCTATTCAGCATAAATTATTTTCAGCAAGGCCACAGAACTGTTCTGGCCAAGATTTGCAGGTGCCCCTTGTGGAGAGCTATTTCAGGATAAAGGCCTAATCTTACTGTTTCTTTCCTTTTCTTTCCTCTATTTCTTCTCTCCTTGAAGAATACTAATCCTGAACGATAGAAGCTGATGACTGGTCTGCTCCCTTCTCTGTGGCTCTCTCCTGTTGTTGTTTTTATCATTTTCAGAATTAACCCCTCAACAGGATAGACTGAAGCATATTCTTTTACCCCTAAGCTTGGTAACTTTGTGTGCGCTGCCATTGCAATATTTCTAAGGGGAAATTCAGCCCCTAATTATCAAATTAGATGCACATTCTGGTTCTTTGGCACGACTTTACTGCTACCCATCTGTTAGGTTGGCACTCTGCCCTCTCAGAAAGTAGCCGACCAGTTTGAGCTGAGCAGAGGAGCCAAGCAAAGATGGGTTAAGAGAGGCAGCCCGCAAAACACTTTATGTTCGATTCCTCTTGCCAAAAGCTCTTCCTGTTTGCAAACAATGTCAGCTTAAGCCCATATGCTTCATTACATGGGATGACATCTGTGGAGACAGATGCAGAGATGGCAATACAAATGACATTTGATAAGGAAGGGCATATGTTATGAAACCAGACACCGCTATGAGTTTAAGATCCTGTCTGTGCTGCACATGCATACACAGAAATATAGATTACTTCTGTATTTTGGTGTGTGAGTGAATTCATCAGCCTGGGTTGAGCTTTTGACATGCATCATTGTTCAGGATTTGTGCTAGGTGTAACTTCAGGTTTGTGATTCGGTTGCTGCACGTTATTAGCCGAGGTCAATATTATGCTTCAGTACTCTTTGAATGGTAATGTGCATTAAAGGTCCACTAGTTTGCACCATGTAAGGAAACACGTTTGGATAATGTTAGTGAAAGAGGAACCTTGTGTAGCATAGGATTCTGCTGTGAAGTGTCTTTCTGAAGGATTTCGGTATTACCTTCCAAAGTGTCTTCTACGAAATCCATTTTAGTGTTTAGAAATACGTTATTTGGATGTGAATTTTACATGTCTGGGTAGAAGAATTGTAAACCCCCCCTTCTTTTGGAGCAGTCTTTTTGCCCCTTCGCTAGGTTTTACTGCTTTTTCACCAGAGGTCAGCTTTGTATCTGAAGCAACTCTTCCTCAAAAACCTCTGCTTTTAACACCGTTCTTGTGCTCTCCGAATTGCTGAGGCTGGTGGAAAAAGTAGCAAGGTTTTGTTAAATAGACTTCATATATAATTCATTGTAACAGTTTGAAGAAAATATTGACATTGAGTAAACTATTCTATTGGTTTAGAACACAAGCAAAAAAAAAAATGCAGTATTTGGAATATAGGCCTTATCAACCATATTAAAAGACTGTATTTTTAGTGTTTGGTAGAATGGAAAATGCACATTTCAAAGAAGATGAATGGATACTGGAAAAGGGAATTTTTCTGTTACAAAATAAAAATATCTCAACACAAGGGAATGTTTTTCATATCCCTTTAATGGAGTTAATATTTGTTGTTTACAAACCTGAGAATGTTTTTTGATATTTTGTCTGGCTTTTTATTGAAAAACATTTATCCAATATTTATACATTTAGATATATAGGACTGTAATGAATAGTTGTAGGTGATTTTTAATTTTTCATTCATTGGGATTTATTTTTAGAGCATTTCCTGGTATTATGACACTCTTTCCTTTGTAGCTTAAGGGCAATGTTATATTTGCTAGCTAAAAGACCTCCTAAATTGTATATGGCTGTTAAAGACTTGGACCAAATGTGATTTGTTGAATTTGCAGTGTTGTGGTAGGGAAACTGATTTGGAGGATTTCCTTAATCACAGTGATACAGTCACTTTCTCTGCACAGCTTTTATCCTGCACTTTCAGAAGGACAATTTCACTTCTAGTAGTTTGGATTAGGAAATGGACTTCTCCAGAGTTGAGGAGTGTTGATTTCTCTGATTGGTTGGGGTTATTAAGAAACTTTGAGTGCCTCATTTTCACCTCTTATAGTTCTTGGCTGTTTTATCTGTAATAAAGGGATATTAGTAATGATGATGATAATAATAATATCTGGTTTTTATTCTCCTCCACTGAATCCTACTAAGTATCTTTTTCTGTATACTCCAAGGTATTACTCAAGTTATACTAATTAACTCTGTCCTTCAAGTGCCACCATCCAAAAGGTGCAAATAAACACTTCCCTGTTTCATTTAAAAACTGGCTTAGTAGCTGCAAAACGTGATTTCTGATAGCTGTATGTACTAGATGAAGATTCAGTGCAAATAAAAAGGATTAAACTGTAGAGACTGAGATGTGTACTGGCATTTCTTATCTCACTGTATTAAACAACTAAAACTGCACCTTTTTGTAAAAGGTACATTTTTATATTAAATCACCTGGATTTTGCAGAAATGCAGTTTTTGTGGTGCATTTAATGTCAGTGTTTTTTATGCAGTTTGCAGAAAATTTGGTCTTATTTTCAAGAGGATATCATTGAAGATACCCTTATAATTCGCTTGGAATTTTTTTTTTTTTGGTACAAAAAGCCTGGCTTAAGTGTGCAGTGCTTTGTTATCAATGAATCTCTCTGCATGTACATCTGTATGTAGTTTTTCCTATTGAAGGACCAAAAACCTGGTTTACTTCTTTGGTTACATGATGAATTGCATTAAGTTATTACTTATGCATATTAGACAGAGGAAACGTCCTCAAGCTGGACCAGAGGAGGTTCAGACTGGACATCAGGAAGAATTTCTGCACTGAAAGGGTGGTTAAGCGTTGGAATGGGCAGCCCAGGGAGGTGGTGGAGTCACCATCCCTGGAAGTGTTTAATTGATATGGTGGTGGTCAGTCACAGGTTGGACTTGATGATTGTGGAGGTCTTTTCCAACCTTAATGATTATAAGAGGCCTGCTAGGGACATGAGGCACTACACAAGGGGTCTTTTTAATAGGAATCTTCTTGCCTCTTTGTGTTGCTCTGAAGTGTTTCCAGTGTGTTGATTTTTTTTTTTTTTCCATGCAAGCTCTGGCATTCTTCCAACCATGGAATCAGGCTCTCCAGTCCAAGCCAACCCTATAGGTTATTTGTTGCAATTTTAGGATCAGCACTCTGAGAGTTCTGACAAAATCTGTTGCCTGGTGCTACTAGCCCAGCAGCTGCATCAAACTTCAGAGCTCTAGTCTAACACACTGGAGAAATAGTTTTGATTTACAAAAACTCTCCTGTCAGTGCTTATCAGAGAATTTAGATGTTATGAACTTCCTTAGATAGGCCATCTCCAGTAGTGATGACTTGCTTTGAAAAGCCTGTTTGCTTGCCCCTCTGGAACAATAGTGGCAGCTATCTCGAAAGGAGGAGTTGGACAATTCTGAGATACCAGCTGGACCAACTTGGGGATCAAAACAACCCTCTTTTAGAAAAATGCTGAAAGGAATTTCAAAACTTTAAGGCTGCCACATTTTACTAACCAGATGCTCTCTGAGTGCTGAATACACTGACAACTGCCAACGAGGGAAAAACTGTGAGGTTGTATGACTTAGTACTGTTTTGAATTGTGCTAAATTAAAATGCCAAGTCTACTTCAAATAGGTAACACCATCGAATTTATGTTAAAAAAAAAAAAAAAAAAGAATAATGATGGTGTCTGCATTGTAGTGGCTGAAGAATTGACTGGTAAAACACTATCAGAAAAAAGGATTTTCAAATCTTGGAAATTCCATTCGCTTGATTACTTTCTTTACAGAGACAACTTGCAGCTTAGGTCATGGTTGTTACAAGATTCAGAGTGGTTATGGCATTGCATATCTCTCCTAATGATATTAATCCTAACCATGATAACTAATGATATTAATCCTCTGATGCAAATTTTCCACTACTGTGATCATTTATGCACAGTGCTTTGGAGGCAGGGGAGAAAAAAATGTCAGCAGCTAGATGGTTACTTGAGGAACATGCAAGTTAAACACCTGACATCTGGTGAGTCACTCTCCAAGTATGTGTGATTGAATGATGGTTAACTGATTGCTGCAGTTGATTAAGTCCAAATGTGTCTGAAATGAGAAACACTTTATTTTTGAAGGTAGTAAAAAGTGCACTGTAAACACCCATAGTTTACAGACCTTAGTGCAGTATAACTGTCTCCAAAACCCACCACTTCTCTTTAGGAATAACTTTGTGCATTAGTTGTTTGCTGTTGCCATGCAAGTATTTCTAACATTTCTAATACACTTTGTAAATGTTGTTTTCTGATGATAATGATGCTCAAGGGGAATTGCTACACCTTGTTGTTTTCTGGTTGATTCTATTCTATTCTATTCTAATGAAGCAGCCTGCCTGTTTAGAAGTTTCCATACTATCTTGACTTAAAAGTGTATCCGGGCTCTGATGGTAAGAGCAAAATCCAGATGTTGAACCAACATTTTTTCACAGACCAATTGTTCAGCAAGACAAGGAATGGTTCAGTCTTCTGGTGCAGACACAAGACAGGTAAGATATTAGCCCAAATCATGGTGAG